TTTTTTGCATTGGATTGGATCACACTGTATCCATTCCCCATTTGACTGGGTACCATAATTGTACTGTGAGCCTTAAACAAACACGAACGGCGGTACCACTGTCGTTTCATAAGCACGTAATGAGTGCTGGCCAGCCGAAGAGTCGTGCAGTCGTGAGACTGATAGCTGTCAGGGCGAGTGTGCCCCCCGGGGGGCAAAAGGGGCACTTGGAGTACCAATGGGGTCGTGACCTAACAGCACAAAATATTGTCTTGAATGATCTTTCGATCTGTGTGGCATAATCGGGCTCATGTTGCCAACGGAAATCGGCTTTGCCCATTTGATTTATCGGTGTCCATTTGACTATTGCACCATAAAAAATCCCTCAACTTACATTCTCAGAAAATGCTGCACTTGTAGAATAGAGTTACATTCCCATAGAAAGGGCTTAAATTCTAAAACATCATTTTGAGAGCTTATTTGTTAATAAATAGGTCGCCCCTTTAGGTGCAAGTCAGCCTTGTGAACGTATTCCTCAATTTTGAGTTTTTAACACTCAAAACACAAACCATCAGCTGAAAGATGACAAAGTCTGTGAAGAATCTACCGGTCATTTTTGGTATGTTCATGCAACATTTTTACCAGCATTAGAGCAATCGAAAATTCCAGTTCATGGAAGCATAAAGTAGGAGAATTCCAGCCAAATTTTCGCATGCTTGTCTGCATCTGTAATTCTCGCATTTAATGCTTCTCCAGCTATGGAAGCATAAACCAGGCGTCTTTAAAATGTTCCGTTGTTAATTTCCCTGTCGATAACATCAAGATGCATCCAACAACCAAAAAGAACTGTACAAAATGGGCAACAAGTCGAAGAAATTGATGTAAAAACCCATAACGAAAACAGCTCATTTCATATTCGACATGATCAACATTAAACGAACATGGCAGATTAGTACATCCGACTAATCAACACGTTGAAACCATTCCTTCAATGAGTTCCCTTGATTCGATTCAGCGTTTTTTTACCTTTCGCATTATTATGATAATCCAAGACATACACAAAACACGCCACAGTGCGTGATTAAGTATTTTTATATGCGTTGCAAAGAGCTTATTTAGCGAAACTGTAAAAGTGGAGTGTAAATTATTTCTTCGGAAGGCAAAAACAATATTGCAGGTTTGGCGTGGAAACCCAGTTTTATTTTGCCTTAGCATTTAGGTTTTAATCTGCCTGTGATTGGGGCTTGCCAAACAGGAAATCGGCACTTTTTGAGAAAGTGATGGAACTTTTGCCTCCCAGCCCTGATATTGATTTACACCAGAATCATAACTGCTGATGGGCAATGGATGTTGATTACAAGCCTCAAATTGGTGGTTTCACTGTGAAGGTTCGCAACAGGTTCTCAAAAATTACGGGTGTTTATGACAATTTGCTTCTGTTTAAAATTCTGGGAGTCGAGTGAAAAATTGGGTTTTCCGCAAAAAAAGTTCAAGAATTACACTCGCGTTTGCAATTTTTGCTGTTGTTGTTAAGTTGGAAAACGTTTAAATTACCCCATAATCTTGGAGTTGGAGGAATGAAGCTTCTCTAGGATTGGTTAGATTTTGTCAAGCTTTTAGGCCGTCATTGAAGAGAATCCGCCGTTTTGCAAGAAACTCCCCCGAAAAGCATTGCAAAACTTGCCAGCTTCGATGTGAAAACATGTTTAAACAATTGTTTGGTCGTTTGAACCATCTGCTGAAAAAAAGTTGACCAATACCTAAAACCCAAGTCAGTCAAGGCTTAACGAACTTTGAAGGCAGCAGATAATGCGGACAAGAAAGGCAGCATTAAAAAATGTACGAGATAAGCGGCGAATATTAATGTCGTATTAAAAATGTACGCATATTTTATTAAAAATCGTCCGTTACGAAACATTTTTTATCGGTTAATAACTAGCGAGTAACGTTGCCTCATGCCGCGCGACATTTTGCTCCCATTTTTTTTATCTTATTTATTGACATTATAAAGAAGCCGACTTCGTAGCGTGAGTGCATATATTTCTTTCGTCCAGGTTCCAACAATGTACAGGATGAGTACGATAAACCCAACCAACGGATTTTCGACTCACAATATCTTTGAAAGCAAGTTGCGAAGTGAGGAACGAATGTAAATAAAAATCTCCAAACAGAATATTGGAATTTCCCAAAACTGAAAGCAACACAAACTCAAAGAAAGAAGTGAAAATCACTAGAGGGTTCAAACTAAACTAAATTGTTACCGAAATTATTGCCAATTAGAAAAAACATTGACCAAACATAAGTAAATTTGGTTGTGAAACATCATCAAAAGAGTCGCGCAATCGTTGTGGTTCTTGCCGAACATCTTCAATTTATAATTTAAAATACAAATTATTACGGCTATTTATTGTTTTTCATTCATTGCATTTTTGTGGTTCGTTTGTGCATCAGATATTCGCAATTTTTTATTCTGCTGCTAAAAAAGTTTCCCGTTTTTGACTATATTTTCTCGAATTTTATGCGTAAAGCTGGCGTGTTTTTGAAACAATGAAAATTAATCTTTTGAATTTGCCCAACAAGTCTTTGAAGCAAAAACAACTAACCAACGGCAAATAATTTTCTTTGGAACAACCAACCAGATGAAGAACAGAATGAAGGAAGAATTATGGATTTCCTGGGACAAAGCTCATATTGGTTAGAAGGGTTAATAGAATTGTTACGATTTGCATATTTTTTAAAATATCGGAAAAAATGTAGAAAAAATCGCTATTTGCTGTTTGCGTTTCCACATGCGTTGAAAAGCGGATAACTTCAAAAGAAATTGGATAAACACGCGATGAAAACAGAATATTTGGAATTTTAGAATGGTGTCATTTGCTAAAGGGATTTTCAACAAAGACAAAAGAAGAAGATCAAAACAAGAAATTAGAAAAAAAATCAAAGTAAATGTTGGTGTGAAAATTCATTAAAAGAGCGATTAATTCGTTGTGCTCCTCTGCCAAACATCTTCAATTTACTATTTAAAACACAAATTATTCCGGGGATGTAGTTCTCATTCAGTGCATTTTTTGGTCGTTTTTTGCATAAAAAAATCGCCTTTTTTGTGCTGCTGAAATTTCAGACAAAAGTTTGATGTTTTTGATTATATTTAACCGCGCAGGTTGGATGAGCATCACTTTCTACTTAGCGCGAGTAGGATGGAGCTAATATGGGCCAAATGCGGTTCTTAATTTCATGCATTTTCGTGGGGTGTGATAAAAAATAATTTCTAAATGAAAAATGTTTCTTGCTCCTTTATTTGTATATCAAGTTACAGTTTTAGAAGCAAATAAAAAAAATAAGCAACCGCAAACAATTTTCTCGAGAACAACTACATCCAACCAGATAGCTTAATTATATATTTTCTGGTCGAGCTGTTTCAATAAAGCGCAAAATATTAAATTAACAACCGGGCAATGCGCTGATCTTCTCAAGATGAAGAACTAGGAAAAAATGAGGTGCTCGTGCCATGTGCTGTATGAATCTGTTGACTCAAGAACTAAGGAAACGTTTAACGGGTTTCGAAATCAGATTGTTTGAACTATACTTTAGCTTTACAACAGCGAAGTGGGCTTTTTGTTGTCCGTTCCTGCGGATTATGCAACGGCTGTCGTATTTTTGCATTTATATAGCAGAACTTTAAACTGTTTTGTAATGGTTTTCTACTTGCGAGCTACTTAGACGTGTTTGGGTTCTGGCAGGTTGAATCGATGGCATGGATTGTGTTTAATCTGCACATACAGTGTGCAATATGCTATTTATGCGAACGTTAATCAAATATTGAAACTGGCTCATATTTAGCTCCAGAAATGTTCTTTGATTTGCTTTTAGCTAACTGTTAATTTTGCTTAAAGGAAATGCTCGTTAGGCATCAATTCACTAAAAATAATAAACTGCATCAGATAGATTATCTACATTCCGGGCAATTCTGGAGTGAAGCTCTAACGATGCCTGATTTATTGAACCATACAGCACACATTTACGCCGGTTCTTCGATGTTAGCCAGCCAATTTAACACCATATAAGCCTTACACGTTTTTTGCATGCTGGCATTCCCTATTCTCTGTTCTAAATAAACAATAGTCTGGCGTCAATAATTAAACGCTGCGTTACGCACGTGACTCGATGCTAGTTAATTTTTATGGTCTGGAAAGTAGTTAGGCTTAAGTAAGTGCGGATAATTGAAATTAGTTTGTAGAAATGTTCAGCAAGTTGAAAAAGCCGACAGGAATATCGGACGTGTTGCCCGAAAGGATTTAGTATTATTGGGTAAACGCTTCAGCTTTACTGCATCAGCAAATTTTCATTTATTTTGCCCATGAGGTTTGGAAAATGCTCTCTTTTGGAGCATATAGAGATTTTGGGTTCTGTGGGCAGGTTTGTCCATTAAAATCCTAAGTAGGGAACGTCTTAGTTCTGTCGGTTCTTGATCGGATTATAACTGTTTATTTTCAATTTACTATTATTACAAATTATTCTTTATGGTGTCAGTGGTTTCTCAGTCTTATAAACATTTTTCAATCAGGCAACGATTTTTCAAAGAAATGGGAAACTGGCAGTCAAAAATTGGGACAATCTTCAGAAAAATGAAATTTTCATAATTTAAACACATTTTATTTAATTTTTTAAGCAAATTTAAGGTTTTTCTTTGCAAATTAAAACATCTAAGATTAACAACGCTTAACGCGGTTTCTGATTCCAACGGAATGTGGTGGTAATAAAAATATGAAGAAGGACTAATATGGGTGTAAATTGACTACTTAAAATCCATAAAATAAGATCAGTGCAATTCTCAAAAAAGCTCATATAAAAAACATAATGAGCATTTTAAAGGGGATGCAAAGGCTTTTTTTTCGGTGGAAATGTTGGGTAATTTGTTACGAGGAAATTCGTATTTGCGTCCGCTTCATTCAATTAATCTGCCGATTTCAGAATATAAAAAAATAACAAATATTCAACTTTACGTTCCGAAAAACGTTTGAACGAACAATTTTAGTTTTCACATTATCTTGAAAGCCAATTTTCCGGATATAAATTTCCATCCGATTCCGTTTAAGCAGTAATCGGCGTAAAATTTGGCAGTTTTTGATCTAAAATAATTATATTATGTCCGTAAAAACCTGAACGGAACAAACGCGAAATAATTAAATACAAGTGTGAGAGAAACGTGCAGGAGGATGAGACTGCTATGGATTCAAATGCGATTTCTTCAATATTAACCAATCAAAATTATCGTAGTTGATCTTGTAGGAAGCGTGAAAGTTTAGACTGATGACTCAACAAAAATAGTATAATTTGCGAACAAAGTGCATAGTTTATACAAACATTTCTAGAATCCAAACATCTATGAAATCACAATTGAAACTGATAATCGTTTAGTGCAGATATCCAAAGTTTGTCTGCTTTTAGCAGTTCGAATCGGACCCAATGATGGCTATTAAATATTTAAAATAATTAAATCGGAATTAAACAAAGGCGAAACGAATAGGTAAATATAAGTGCGAAATTGAAAAGATGATTCCAACAGGCGAAAAAAAGGACCAAGAGGATCAGGCTACTGTGGGCTAAAATGAGATTTTTTAAATATGAACCAAATAAAAGTATTGCAATTGATGTCATCAGAAAAGCAGATATTTGAAGTAACGATGTATCAAAAATACAGCAATTTCAAAACAAAATGCACAATTTATACAAAAAGTCTAGGATTCATACCTACTCAAACTGATAATCTTTTTCGGATATTCTGATTCCAGCACGTGAAGGGAAGGAACATGAGGTTACCATGAGCAAAAACGCGATTTTTTCAAATTCTCCAATCAAAAAGCATTGGAACGAAAGTTACAACAAAAGCAAAAGTTTAAACTCATGAAGCAACAAAAATGCTGTGAATTGGGATGAAATGCATAATGTATACAAAAGTTTTGAGAATCCAAACACTTCTTAAAGCACAACAAATATTTCGAAAAAATAAAAATAATCTACTTTGTCTGCTTTAATGCCAAGAAATCATAAATAAATATTCAATTAAGTGTGATTTTTGCATTGCATTCTTAATCAATAACATATTATCGATTCCCTCCATGTGTTATGCTGTGAACAATTCCAAGTTTGCTCGCACTTATTACGACTAATAAAAATTAATTTCCTATTTCTGCAACTAGAATTAATGGAAAAACACAATAAAATGCGTCTATAATTAACTCGCGAGCCCTTGAATTCGATGATTTATCTCTTTTCTATAACCAGCTTTAATGGCATTAGTTTCAACAAAAAACTGCTACACACATTGAATTGAGTGGCAAAAGGTTGTATTTGTTATCGTCAATGTTTGTGCGTTTAATTTGCAAGAGGGACACAGTTCTTCTTTATATCTTGATAGATTTTATCGATTCTAACGTTTCATGGCTTTGTGACCAGGACGAATTGAATGAGACCCAGGCAATTTTCTTCATCGACATCAACGATAACCCGCTAATAATGGTGATTGAGGAATTTCTGAAGGCTTGTTTAATATTTAATGTTTGTCAATATTACCTTTGTACTGAATCCCTATAATTTGCCTGGACTGCTATTTATACCGGGTGGAACAACCGATCGATCCATTCGATTAATACAAAGTGTATTATCAGCAGCTTGCTGAAGCCACTTAAGAGCTTGCTTACCACATAGCGGGAAGGAGAAGCAATTTATTATCGTCCATCCTGGGCTTTACATACATGTAAATTAATTTGTTTAAACTGATATTACGGACAATGTTAATTTAACTGGGTGTCATGTGGTGGTTCTGTTGCAGTTATTTATGGGACAGTTTCATCAGAAAATTTAAGTTGTTCGGGTTAGTTTTTTCACTTGGATTTGAGCTCTCTGCGAGCAGAACTGTTAGACCAGTCTTTCAATTAGCATACCATGAAGGCGACCGAAAATGTAAATGTGAAACCCAGTGTAAATATATACGACATGTAGGTATCTATCAGTTTTGAAATGTCGCAACATGAATCGAAACGGTATCGCGGAGAAAAGCTTTCCAGATAGCCCAGATACGCGTTAATCTTCATTAACTAAAATCTTTGAGAGCGAAATTTGAATAACATCTTTCATATGCCGCCGGTTTTAAAAAGTGGATTTTCTTATCTGGACGTTTCCATCTGGGTTTTGATATTTTGACGTTGCGCCTGTTCGACAAATTTATGCAAATGAAAATCTGTGCCAAACACCTTGAATACAAAACATTTTACGGCGATTACGAAACGCGACAGGTGACAGGATCTTTGGCTCAGATCGCTCTTTATATACATTTATTTCAATTTTAATGGCCGGTTCATTTTGCCGGCGAACGCAAATGTGTATCTGTTTCCCCAAACAAGTCATTCAGATGAGGCAACTGCCTCGAATTTTCCTAATAGAGCGACGGTACTTCACGGAAAAGTTCTCATTCATTTAACAAAATGCTTGGAAGTGATTCAGGATTGGTGGTCTAACCCGACGTTTTGCTTGCATTTGCAGCACATATTCTCAGGCGCAAATGTTTTTTTAATGAAGCGTTAGTGGCAGAAATCTGCACGTTTGCCCTCAGAATCTTCCTCAGTACCTATTCAGGCAGTTTTTGATGCACACACCAAAAATCATTTTTGGTCAATCGATTTGAAAATTTCCAGTCAATTAATTTCGAAATTCGCCTCATATTTACGATTTTTGACCGACCGTATCTCCATTTTTATAGACTGAAACACTTTATTTAGCTATGCACTTTGAGCAGCTTCTATGTGGGCATCGAAATCGATTGAAATGGAGAAAAAGACGCATGTGAAAATTGTTATCTTTCTCCCAAAGTTTTTAAAGGGTTGGAGGTCGATTTTTCAAAAAACTAAAGTCTCTAAAAATGCTTTGAAGTACTTATACATCATTTTCAACAAAGTCAAGCAAGAAACGCAACGAACCAATTTGAAAAACACGCTTGAAGCTTCCGATCCGAAATATTTTTTTAAGGGTTAGAGGTCTATTCTTCCAGAAAAATTTAAATGTCTCAAAATGCTTCCATTTCTGTAACATTTTCCACAAAATCACGCAAGGGGGGCAATGAACTTATTGAAAGGCACACCAGAAGCTTCAGATCGGAAATTATCTACATTTTTGGCGTATTTTTTAATTTAGTTAAAATCTACTTAACTCGAAACTTTATATTTGCACCTTTCCTTAGGTGGAAAACAATCGATTCAGCTGCAAAAAAATCGCATGTAAAATTTTTATTTTTTACTTAATTTTTTTGAGTCTTAGAGGTCGAATTTGTCAACAAAATTCAAATCTTTCAAAATGGTCCAAATTGTGCATCATTTTCCGTCCCATAAAGCCGCCCAAGGAAGGCAATGAACTTATTTAAAAACACACCAGAAACTTTGGATCCGAAATAATCGAAGTTTTTGTCTATTTTAAGCGGTTCTTGATCATTCACGATCTTTAACCAACGTTATTTGCGTTATTGTAGACTCAAAACGTTATATTTCCACATTGGAAAGCTTTTGAGGTCGGAGACAATCTATTGAGCTGACAAAATCCGCAGGCAAAATTTTGATTTTTTACCCATATTTTTTTAAGGGCTAGAGGTATATTTTTTCAAAACAAATTCAAATGTCCCAAAATGCTTCAAATTGTGCATCATTTTCCACCACATCAAGCAAGGGATGCAACTAACTTATTGAAAGACAGCCGTTATTTGTTTTAAGCCGTTCTTGATCAGGCACGATCTTTAACCAACGATATTTGCGTTATTAAACACTCGAAACATTAAATTTGCACATTTGAAAGCTTCTTAGGCCGGTTRAACAATCCATTGAACCAAAAAAACTCGCATATGAAAATTTTAGTTTTAACCTAAAGTTTTTAAGTCTTGAAAGTGGAATTTAAATAAACTCAAATCGTCAAAATGCTTCGGTTTCTGGATCATTTTCAACGAAAACAAGCAAGGAACGYAACGARCTGATTAAAACGCCCTCGAAGCTTCAGATCACAAATAATCGAAACTTTTGGTCTATTTTAAAACTTCGAAAAATGTAAGTGAAAAACATACCATTCAGATCCGAAGCAAACGAAATTTTTGGCCTATTTTAAGCGGTTTTTGATCAATCACGCGCTTTAACCAATAATACCTACGTTATTATGGACGAAAAACCCGATATTTGCGCATTAGAAAGGTTCTCAGGTCGGAAACAATCATTGACCTGAAGAAATACCCACGTGAAATTTTGATTTTTTATCAAAAATTTGGAATTTTTCGAATTTTTTCGAAATTTTCGAAAAAACGGATGCATCTCGGTTTTCCCGAAAAAATTCAAATTCCTCAAAATGCTTCGCATTCTGCAACATTTTCCGCAAAATCAAGCAAGAACCGCAATGAACACACCGGAAACCTCAAATCCAAAATAATCGACATTTTTTGCCTATTTTAAGCGGTTGTTGATCAATCGGTATCTTTAGCCAACGATATCCGCGTTATTATAGACTTAAAACTTTATATTTGCATATTGGAAGGATTCTTAAGTCGGAACCAATCCATTGACCTGAAGAAACACGCATGTAAAATTTTGATTTTGGACCGCAAAATTCATAAAAGTCGACTTTATTCAAAAAAGCTAAGTGTTTCAAAATTTTTGGTTCAAAATTTCAGTTCTTTTCTTCTGAGAGTTTCTTCCGAAGAAATCGATAGTTTTGGTCCATTTTAATCGATTTTTTGTAACTAATGATCTTCAACCGACTCACTCTGTCTTCTGGTGAACCCGCCATATTTCTGATCGCTGAAGCAATAAGATTCCAAATTGAATCTCCATTCATTGACGCTGATAATTCGTAGGAAACGTTGTCGTTTTCTTGAAGATTCTTATTAAACCAGCCAATCTTTGTTCTACCTCAAAGCTACGGTTATCTTCATCCACCCAAATAAAATCTGTCCGGTATCGTCACGATTTACGAGACATCGTTTGACGACACAATTTTTTTTCGGCTTTTTAACAGACTTGCACGAAAGTAAAACCGTCCAAAAACTGTAAATTATTGCGTTAGTGAATAGATCAATCACGGCGCTTGACATCGAACAAGAGAAACTTGTTACATTTCGTCCGGTCATAATTAATCTTTTATCTCATTCACGGCAAACGTATTTAGTAGGTCGAAGCCGATTGTTGACCAGTAAGATGCGGCTGGATGAAATTGAGTTTATTGATTAGTTGGAATTTTTCTTGGGTTTTTAGTCCATTTGCTTTCATCCCCAGCATAATTAGCCGACGATAGGCAATGAGGCCAGCCCAGCTGTCTGTTATTAATACGAGGGAATATTCCAGTTTTCAGCATTAGCCAGCGAGCTCATTATTTCAGCTCGTAAACAACATTTTTGTGCTCGACGCTTCAGTATCGAAAGGAAGTCCTTTCAACCGAGCTTCTGAATTATTTCTTCCCCTTGGTTGTTCAAACCGGCAAGACGCCGTTGGTGAGCGCCGGACGAGTTTAGGTGCGTTTTGCACGCAACATGAAAGTGTAACGTAGTATTTTGCGATTTTAAACTTATGTTGTCCAGTCATGATAATTTCCGCGTAAATTCTTAATATACGACCACGGACAATTGTCGGCTACACCTTCAGTTCGCTGCCGACAGCTGAATGTCTGTGTCCGCTTTGGATCCATCCAGGTGGTTAGAGAATATTTGGAAACTATTCAATCAATGAACCTAATTGAACCAGTTTTATGTAACAGTAAAAGGGGCGAAAAGTGCAGGTTTTGGCAGTGTTCTTTCCAAGACTTAAAGCATCTAATGAGTCTTAATAAGTCAGCTTAGGAATGACAACAATTTGCGATCGCCCGATATAATTGTTGTTCAAAGTGCCGCTGAAAAAATGCAAACAAGACGAAATTACTTAGATTTTTTCCAATCTCGCCGAAGATTGCTCTTTCGCAATTGTCCTCGATTAAGCCCAGCAGAAAAAGTAAAAGGCCGTGCGGCACTTAACAGCATTGTTATTCTACCTTCGGTGTTGCGCTATATTAAGCTGTCAGTATTTGCTGAATTGCCGCATAATGGTAAATTAGTTTGCGAAAATAATGTCGAAATTTATTATTTTCAGCTGCCGGTTCACCGACGTTTTGACGCTAAGCTCTTGTTTCTGTCGGAAAATTGATCAATGGGTAAAGGGAGCCTCTAAAGCCGACCCACATTTTAAAACACCTGAATAATTCTTGCCTCAACTGCATGTGCTTTTCTTCTTCAGTGAATTTTTTCCTTAAATAAAACCTATTAATATTAAATGGAAACTGAAGCGCTGAATAGTGTTTTTCTGCATCCGCATCGCCTGCCTAAGGCGCTTACTCGATTTTCTACCAAAAAAACGCAAGCGCTTCTTAGGAAACTTTCAATATACACGAATAAAGTGGAAAAAACATCCGGCAAGCGTATCCATTTTCCGTACTAGTCGCCTGAAAAACTAGTCGATATTTTAGCGTTTTCACATAAATAACTTGCCCAGGTATTTCCTATGAATTATTTAACATAATTCCAGTGGTAATAAGTCATCAGAATCTTCACCGGTTGTCGCTGGAATGTTAAATCGCTTAATGAGTAACCTTTTACTTACCAAACAACGCGTATAGATTTCATGCAAGTGGCACTAATATTTTTGTGTTAAAATATATTTTTTTATTGTTTCAGCGGCAAAACGAGCAGTACCTTGGCCCAGCTTACGATCCGTCTAGAGACCTTTCACCCAACCTGCCCTCATGCGAACCCCACATCAAAGGCGAACCCCAAGGGGATGCACAGGGCACGCCTGGAATCCAGGATAACAACAATCACACCGATAAAAGTGAGCTTATGAAGGGTTTTTTACTATCAACTATACTTCTAATAATCAAGTAAAACAATGCAAGATATTCAGAGAGAAAATTCCTCCTTTCATGAAAACTAACAAGGTTTTTCCAAAACACATTTGCCTCATTCACAATTTAACTATCAAGGTGAAAATAAGCGTTAGGATTTCAGCCGTTTTTTGAAAATAACGAGAAATATTTCTGCAAGAGAAAGCACAAACTGGTGAGATTTTAACGGGGAAAATATGTTTTCGCGACGACCTAAAAGGCTAAAAAAGTCGCCAGTTTCAAGAAACTGAGAAGAAAGCATGAAGGAATCAAATGCAGAATTAACATCGGAAAAGACAACGAACTGGATATGAAAAATTGCAGAAAAAAGAACTAGAACATAGTGGAGAATAAAGTAAAGCAAAAAGCTGTCTATGAGTAGAGGTAAAGCAAAACTTACTAAGAAATAAATACAAATTGAAATAGAACAGTTTTGTCAAAAAATTATATACAAATAATAATTTACATAATTTTATTGGCACAACAATCGCATCGGAGAAAGTGTTTAATGCCAAAGTCGTGCCGTACCCTTCAGACACGACACTGTTTCGGACTCAAAAAGACTGTAAACCTGACCATTGATCAACTTTTACGAAAAAATCAGTGTCGTGCAAGAAGGGCTCGGCACAACAATCGCATTGGAAAAAGTGTTTAATGCCGAAGTTGTGCCGAACCCTTCAGACACGACGCTGTTCGGACTCAAAAACACTCTAAACCTGACAATTGATCAACTTTTACGAACAAATCAGTGTCGTCCCAGAAGAGATCGGCATAATAACTGCATTAAGAAAAGTGTTTAATGTCGAAGTTGTGCCGAGTCTGTTTGGGACGCAAAACCACTTTTAACCAACCGATTGGCCAATTTTTCGGCACAAAAAAATGCACACTCGCATTAGGGAAGGTGTTTAATGTCGAAGCTGTTCCGAACCCTTCGGGCACGACACTGTTTCGGACTCCACAAGTCTCGAAACTCTGACGATTGATCAATTTTTGTGAAAAAATCAGTGTCGTGCCCGAAGAGCTTGGTACAGCAATCGAATTAGAAAAAGTTTTTTAATGTCGAACTTGTGCCGAGTCTGTTGGGGACGCAAGAGCACTGAAACCTACCGATTGATCAATTTTTCGGCACAACTATCGCATTAGAAAACGTGTTTAATGCCGAAGTTGTGCCGAACCATTCGGGCACGACACTGTTTCGGTCTCAAAAAGTCTCTGAACCTGACGATTGATCAGTTTTTGCGAAAAAATCAGTGTCGTGCCCGAAGAGCTCGACACAACAATGGCATTAGAGAAGGTGTTTAATGCCGAAGTTGTGCCGAACCATTCGGGCACGACACTGTTTCGGACTCAAAAAGTCTCTAAACTCTGACGATTGATCAATTTTCGCGAAAAAATCAGCGTAGTACCCGAAGAGCTCTGCACAATAATCGCATTATAGAAAGTTTTTCAATTCAAAGTTGTGCCCAGCCCTTTGGGGGATTAATTATAATAAAATATATTACAATTAAATTTCATGTTTAATATAATATTTCTAATCTGTGTCTTTTGTTGGAAAATACAGACTTTTGCTGCCGAAATTAACATTTTTTCCTTTCATTCTCAACAATAGCTTTCCTTGAGCATCAAGGCCGAAAAATCCACTAGTTGCAATAAACTGAGAAAAACACCTGAAGGGATCAAATGCAGAATGAACAACAGGAAAAGACAAAATACAGAACAACTTGCAAAATAAACGAAATGTAAACGAAGCTTAAAAGACGCTAATCACTAAGTTTGCACAGTAAGTGGAGTAAAAAGCTGTCTGTAGTTAGAAACAAACTAAAAGTTGCAAAATATAAATACGAATTGAAAATCAAACGATTCCGAAAAATTATATAAATGCTTTCCTAATCTAGATATCTACATATGTTGGAAAATATAGATTTTTTTCCGAAATTAACTTTTTTAGAACCAATTTAGAACGATGTTTTCCATTTTTATTCTCCTTTCTCGACAATATCTTAATCCCCTTCAGGCGGGACCTTCAAGGCGAAATAATTGATCAGTTTCATTCTGTAAGTAACGACATTCCAAAATCTTGCCACTTTCTATAGAGCTTTGGAATTTCTAATTAAATTTACTTGGGCAAAAACAAGTCGAAAAAATTCCACATTTTTGCATCCAAACTTACCCAAACTAACCAGTTTCACGGAAAAATTCAATCTCAAAACCCGTAAAAAACCTACAACCAAACATCCAAGTGCATCATTCAACATAAATTATTCAAATACGGGATTGAAAACGAAGTGGTTTAAAAAAACATCTACCTAAATATGCCCAAAACCATTTGCAAATTTGAAACGAATTTAATTAGCTGCCAATTTCCTGACTGTCACACTTGCACAAAGTAGCAATCCAAGTACAAACAGACTAATTAATAAACTAGGTGTATACCGAGCGGTGGAAAAAGCCGGTTTTCCAAAGAGTTACAGATCATTAGCGAGCCATCAATCTTTAAATACCTAGATGACTAAATAAGGATTCATTCAACGCTGTTGAAACGTGGAGTTTCAACATTGATACAAAGTATACGACAGCGATCGACTATATACAAAAAAATCTCATTCTGAAGCTGAAGATGAATGATGACATAAATTGGCTGTGGCATGGAAAACGTATTCAAATTCAACTCCTTTTCGAGCTGCAGTAAACCATACTTTGTCCTGCACAGTTTGGTGATTGAAATTGGTCAAATTTCCGAAACTAGGACAGTTTCAGTTGCAACTTGTTTTTCAGTGCTCCAATCATGCGGTTCGGACACTTGTCGACCTCAGCTGCACGAAACGTGTAGATCGACTCCATGCCCCCCATCAAGACCCGTCCAGTCGATTACTCCGCCAGAACTGCGAAGACCTGGATCGTCTTTTGATCATCACATTCCTAAAATCGAGCCAGATACAACACCATCCACGCCTCCGACTCCACCATCCAGGTAAAAATCATCTACACCTAATTATACTTACAGAAGTGGAAAGTGAAGAGGCTGCACAAGAAAATTTGATTTAGTTACACTTTTTGCCTTGAATACTTTCCTGCAAGCTCTTTCCTCTTGAGTTGATGTCTTATCATTTTGGAGGCACTGTTGATTGCAAAACCAGTCAGTGCTTCATACCCTATTTACTGTTTTTTGTCTTGTAAAATAGTCAATGTTTCGTCTTTCAGTTGTGCCGAGGAAATTGGAGGATTTGCAATTTGTGCGGGTTGTGGTAATAAAATAAGGGACCGATACTACCTTCAAGCTGTGGAAAGGCGATGGCATGCCAAATGCTTGAGGTGTTGTCAGTGTCGAAATACTTTGGATGGTGATGTTACGTGTTTTTCCCGCGATGGAAACATCTACTGCAAGAAGGATTACAATATGTAAGTTAAGCATTTAGTGAATTTTTTCTAGTCTTAGTTTTGGTCCTGCTTTGCTCATCGCTAATGCTCCCCAAGCCTCAACAAAAAAACAGCACAACCTTGTTAGAAATTCGTTGATCGAAGATCGGAACTGGTTGATGAAATTACCATATCACCTAGTTAATACCTCGAGTGTAAACTAAACATTTTCGTTTGGTGAAAAAAATTTCACCTGATTTACAACGAGAGCAGCATTCGTTTCATGTGGCAGATCGAGTTTGCTTCGTTGTTTTTTCGGTTCCATGTTAAATATTTAACGGCACGTCGAGACGAATTAAGTCGCATTACGATATGAAAGGTTTTGAAATTGCTTAAAACAACCTTCGTACCGTTTTAATCCCGGCCATTTGTTACTTTGAATCAGCAGCTATGGCGCAAAGCGCTGGGAATTTTCTTCGGTGTGTAAAAATAACATAGGAATAATTATCCCTGAACTGGCTCATGATTAATCATTAAATACAATTCAGCTATTTTCTTGTTGGAATTTGCTGTTTATTGGAAATTCCGGCTCGAAGGACCAAAATTATAATTGCGTCTTAAACCACCGCCTTAGACTAGAGACGTGAATGTTGTAGACAAGTTATCATAAATTAATCTCCAAATGTGTAGGTTTTGCAGATTTACGTACTTAAAATCATAATAATCTTCCTTTCTCCTAGACGAAATGCAAATAGAGCCACTGTTGCGTGGCACGTTTCTTTTGATTAAAAGCAGATGTAATTTCCAATTGAGTGCAAAATCAGCATATAAATGCATAACCCAGACGTGGTTTATTTCAGGAAAACTTGCAAAAACCACACTCGAATAGCTGGATTTATAAGAAGTTCTTCCATATTCAATTTGTGATTTAGTTTGCAACTTAATTAATTTAGTTCATTCGTTTGCTTTTAATATGCAACATACAGCTTTGAATTAATATTGATATTATTTTGAAGTTAAGCTGGCACATAATTCATGTACCCCATGTTCTACACGACGCACACTTCCGCCCGTCAATCTCTTTATCTGCGTTAGAAATCAATTTTAGTATAATTTTATATTGAGTAGAGATGTTTTCTGTTTCTCCTATAAATAAACTGCTCAACAACATCAACGTTGCACCGGCAAATTTGGTTTAATTTTGGTTGCTTGAGCGMTTGGTTTCGGTTTGAAGAGTTTAGTGCGACTCTTTTTCGGCTGAAAAACTGGTGATTCGGGTAAAGTTTCTACAGGGTGCCAARTGAARCAATGCAAAATTSSTGAAAATTCCGCGCGTTTTCCTTTGTACAAAATACGATGTCTTAAAACAGTCAACTTTCTGGGCTARCAGTGATAATTTTTTCTCTTCAACTTMTCTTCTCTCKTSAAACAACAAATCTAGGGTTTATTTGGAAGCTTAAACTTCACAGTCCCATTGAGAGATCATGAGTGAAGCAAATACCTTGAGTTGGTTGAGAATCTTCCATAATCACAGATTTCGGAGGAAATTCTCATTTGGCACATTTTTAATGTGTCGCGCTATTTGGTACATTTTTAACTTTTTTACAGTTTTTATTTACCACCCTGTAGAAATTCCCTGATGCGTAATTTTAACCGCAACATGGACTAACAGAACACAAATAAGTCTTCAATGATAAACTAAATCGCTTTAAGGAATCAGAATTTATCCAGTTCGAAATATGGGGTAATTTGTGTGGAACTGTTTATTTTGATGAGTCGTTCAGTTGAACCGACCGATTTCGTCAAGGTTCTTCAGAACAATCGCTAACTTGCCTCAAAAACAGGTAAAATGTTTATATACCATTTTGACAAGAAAAGCAGGAAATATTTCCACTAAACAACACAATTATTTGCGCGTTTGATTGCAGTTTGAAATTATTGATTTATTCCTCTTAGTTTGAGCCTCTCGCTGAGCATCGTGCAAGCAACATTGAAAACTCTTCCGAGTCTCTATTGCTTTTCTAACTACTTGAGCCTAAAGTCACTAATTCACCAAAAAAAAACCAACAAAAATCTGTGATAATCACATTTAAGCCTGCCTTAATTTCAGGAACAAGTCGCGTTATTTGAGCATTTGCTTTGTCTTGGCATCACGTTTCTGAGTTCGGTTGTTCTAAAGCAATGTTTTTTCTGAAGTTTTTGCTGCCAAATAACTCAAAAATACGGCTTGTAAAAGTTAGCTTCTCATTAGAGCTTCAGAAGTGCATTACTTGACTTGTGTAGTTTGAAGCCGAAAATGATCTTCTAAAGCGTCAACTGCACAAAAATCAAGCACCAAAATATAAGAAACAGCAGAAATTAAGAAGATCGGTGTTGGTTTAATTAAGGAGGATTCTGGCTTTTTTTCTGCACGATTAAGAGCGTTGAGCATTACGCAAAGCAAATGCTTTGCACGAATGAACCTGAACTGCTTTTTAGGAAAAAAATGGAAAAAGCACTTCTGAGTGGCCGCCACAAGTTTTCTGATCATTTTTATATAAGAAAACCTCAAAGATGCCACTTCTGAGGATTTAGCGGCGAATTGAGACTGGTAATTGGTGTCTTAGAACCGCAATTTTTGCGTTCTTTGAGGTAGAAAACTTCGATTTAAGTGATCCAACTATCGTATTTGGCTGAAGATGGAAGAATTAAATCTGGTCTTAATTTAAATTATCGTTAACAATGTTTTTCAATGATTCAACAATGAAGTTCAAGCGACAATTATTCTGATTAGTTCCGCGGTTTTGAATGGGAAAATGCCCTTTGGAGGTTTGGAGTGATGTCCAAATTGCAACCGTTTCGGAAAAACCTCATTTTCTTATTGTTTTTACGGAAAAACCGCAAATATTCCCAACTGATCTATGAATAAACTTGCATTTTTGCCGCAAAAGTTAATTTTTTTTATGCACCCCAGTATATCGAATTTTTGTCTTAAATTTTGTAGGAGGTTTTAGCTTCAAAAAACATCATTTTTGTGTTTGTGTAATGTTCATTCTGTTGGTCAGTTGACATTTTTTTAATAATTAATTTTCTGGGACTTTGCTTCATCTTTTACATCTATTGCCGATGTCTTCTACATCTTCTTAGGTAGTCGGAGTTGCACAAATTGATGCTGCTACTTAATGTCTAGAATGCCTAATAATAGTCATGGAGCAAAATCATGTTCCAGCAATTATACCATTAGCATCTGACATAATCACTTCAGGGCTTGATAGTGAGGTAATAAGGAACATTTCTGCAAACACAATTAGTTGCTTCTTCATAGTAGTTGATCTCATTGAGCTAATTTTACTCTCAGTACTTTTGCTTGCTTCCAACTGTTTTAATTGACTTTCTACTTTTCCCATTTAGTAATTTTGCATGCAACTTCGTTTCCCTTTTTGTGACGCATATTGCGTTTTCTATGCTGCTGATTTCACATTTTCTTCTTCCTCTCGAGCGTTTTGAGCTCTCGATGGAATTTTCCCTGAGTGTCCCTTTATATGTGGTTTGCTCAGTTTGTGCTGTTTGCCTGCCATAGTTTAGTTTCACCCAAAATACTCTTTCTGTTGTCTGTTCGCGCTTCGCCATTTGAGTGTTTTTGCTTGCCACATTATTGCGTTGTCTAAGGCAACTTTTTCTTCACTGTCTGTATTTATTCCTTTGGTTTTCCTCAATTTTGCTCTTTTCGAGTGAAACGTTCTCGAACATCGAGCCGAAACCATCAGATCCGCTTGGGTATTTTCAACATTCGTGTCGTGTACAGTAGTGGGTAACATCAAAGAGCCTGTCGAAGGAAATTTAAATTTACTTACGAAATGTTTGAATACTCAAACGGACAGGTCGCATCTCTTTCCAGCGCATCAAAACGAACAAAACAGACAAAAATAATAGCTGTGAGGATGGAGTAGTTTATTTGCTAGTCGGCAGAACAGGTTCCTATATATTTTGAATTGTTCGGCTCGACTTGTCGAGTATTTACTTATGAAACTGTGTTTATTCAAATCGTCTTCAAATATTGACTCTGGACATTATTTAATGTACTACTATTGTTTTGATGTGAAAGCGAAAACGTGTTTCGATGGATTTTAACGTTTTTTTCTGGGACTTGATAGCCAGTAGCTGGGCTGAAGAAGGTCAAACAAGCATTCAATCGGTGCCAGGGATTAATTAATATTTTGCTGTATTCACCAGAAAATCATCTATTTTCACCGAAAGACGACTAAAGTTGAATTGTTCTAGCTGGCTGATAGCATGTCAGATCAGAGTTCAACAACAAAGTTTCAATAACAGTATCGTCAATTTGAATTAAACCAGAAAAGATTGGGAAGATTACAGATGCCAACCTGTTAAGCGTTCAAACCAGTGCTTTTAAGTCGTATTTTCAAGCTGAAATTTTCAACATAATTTATGCAGTTGAATACACTTTTGTTCTCATTGGTGCTGGTCCTTGACCGAAGGACCGGTTGTAATGACACGATATTAAGTTCACTTTCGGTAAATGGGTCAGTCGTATCTATAAAATGGACCGGTTTTGGGTCACTTTTTAATGGAATCCTTAAAATAAAGCTGAACTTGAATCGCATTTTCCATGGATCTAGTTCGATTGATTTGCAGTGTTTTCTTGAGTTTTATGACCCTTATCAATAGCCCTGACACTAATCGGCATTTTTTTACAATCAATTACCATTTAATGTGCGTAATATTGTCACAATTATATAGTTATACGGTTTACAGCCGCTTCGGCTTCCTATTATTATTAGTCAAACGTAATTTATTGCCGATAAAAAACAAGCCATAAAATCAGGGCTATGAATATCACAATTTCCCATATGAACTCGTAAAATAGCCTTCACTATGAATAAATTATTGAACTCAATTTTAAATAATAAAAAGAAAACGTTTAAGCTAATATATCGCTTGGATATAAAATACTAATTTGGTAATAAAATTCCTATAAAGAACAGGTTGTTTATGAATATTAACAACCAAAAAATAAAACAACCAAGGCTTGATTAGAATGT